ATGGTATTCATCAACAGATGGCAATCCTGTAAAAAACATGAAAAGACATAGCAGCAACACAAAGAAACCTAATGTTATAGAAACGAATTCGAAAAACAAAGTCTACTGAACCAAGGTACAACCACACTCCAGGAGGCAAGCAAAAGTGCATATAATCCGAAGGTTGCGATGCCTGTATGTATTGTATTCATTGATTCATGGATTCTCCACAGGCCTTAGCCTAAATCGAGGGAGTCTCTGTCATGCCACACTGGATACAACATGCTACCAGAATCACTTTCCCCCGTATTGATGATCTTTTCTTAGGGTGTTATATAAAACACATCTGTAGCCACTTCATCTTGCTCACGAAATCATACACCACCACACAAACGGGCCCTTCGGCTATTATAATTTGGGTGGTGATGTATGATATTGATAATCTATTGATACTAGGGCTGAAACAATTATATCGGTTATCCGTCTAATCGATCATTACAAGGAAACAATTTCGATTACGCTGTCTGTTTCGAATACGCGATTCTAAAAAAAAGAAACGTCCGCAAGAATCAAAAGATGTCATGTACAGCACTACTAGATACTGTACTTTGTCCTTTTCCTCGTTTCTTTTTGTTGTCCATATGTTTTCCAGTAGGGCTGTGAAAAAATAAAAAATAAAAAAACTGACTGTCTGCACCTGCACGTGATGTGCCACTGCATTGCGTAGAGTACGCGGTTTATCTGCACGTGTGTATGCACATGTATATGTGTATATTTCAACACGGCATGCTTTGTGCTGGTCTGGCGCGACAATTTCTAGGACGCAGTAATCAATAATCATAATCGATAATCGAATCAATACAAGGGTAGGTTAACCGATAGTTGAAAAGTGTAATCGTTTCACCCCTAATTGATACCATATCCAAGTCTGACTCTCACCGTGAGATCCTGGCAACAATATTACCTGGTACATGACATATTCAGACACTGACTTAAGCGTCTTTTTGGAACAACACGTGTGCCTATCTGCTAGTGTAATGTGACACACATGCAGAATCAGTCATAGCTAATTTTACCCCCTCACTGTTGTATGCGCAGACTCCACTTTGCGGTGTCAAGTACTCTTCTCTCGGTGGGCTACTTCACTAAGGCGCTTGTCTAAAAGGACTCACGTTCATCCTGCAAACCTACATGACTTGCATAGTTTTCACTGTCGGCCGAAGTCCATGCATTGCACACATTGAGATTCACTCCCTCCGTACAGGCCAGTACAGAGCTGCCCACCATTTGAGTCTGTTTTGCGTACTCAGACTTCTGATTTTCCGTATCTTGCAGTGTTTTGCGTACTGCCGTGTACATTGCATGCATACTTGCACTATAAAGTTTTTTGACACGCACATGCATGTCGTAGGCTGCATTTGGTAGTGTAAAACATGTGTGACTTGCACTCACGAGTCACGACATTATTTTTTGTGCTACATGTACATGTTGTCGTGGTACGGCATGCACTCACTTTGGTACAAGACTATTCATCGCTCAGCTTACACTTGCAATGCTTCTACACAGCTGATTGATCCTCTTCAATTTTCTGTACCATTTGCCCAAATTCTGTAGTGCGAACAAGGAGTGATTTTCCGCACAAATACAGAAAAATATTTTCATTTTTTTCAGTCATTTTCACGACATATTTTCTTTATCATGATCCCCGGGGTGTACGTGTGGCGTTCTCACGAACGCGGAAACGCAGTCTTTCTAACCGAGTCTCACGTGCACTGTGAATTATTTGTTCTTCTTTTATTCACAATGCCATGTATCGATTCATCGCTTCTTCGCACCTGAAATCCTGTGCAACAGCGATTTAAAGATTAGCTTTATCAAATAGTGATCAGAGAGAGAGAGAGGATCAGTTGTGGGTGCTGTGACAGCATAGAGTGTAGATTGGTGCAAACATCATTGCCCAGCAGAACCGTATTCATAATCATAGGGACCTGCGTTAAGCATTACATTTTGGAAGCTATTTTTTAGAATTTTTACAGGCCCAATAAGCCTGAAGAGAAGAACACCTAACTTAGACTGTCCTAACGTTATCGAACGCACTGCCAAAGTAAAAAAAAACATTTGAAATGCAAGCTCCATTGTGCATGCATGGAGGGCACATGGGGAAGAGACTGAGAGGGTGAAAGTGAAGGAAATTTGGTCCGAAATCAAGAGAATCCGAGGAACCTTTGCTGAATTCTTCAGTTTGATAACGTCAGTGGGTGCATCTCAGATGTGTTGTGTGCCCAGACATACAAGTAGCACTAACCTGAGCATGAGAGCTGCTTGTCATCATCGTGGTCAGGAAAACGAAAGGACGAACGAAGAAGATTGCTGACCATAACGAACAACAGTGCATATCCAGACGACAGACGGCTTGCCAGAATCAGTCTGGTGCATCTTCAGGAATCTTCTTTCCTAATCGCATTCAGCAGTCAGCTTCGAGGTCAAGAGCGCGATGATATTTTCAGAAGGAATAATTTAATTTTTTTTATAAATTTTGGGGAAGAAGCTTCCTTTCTAAAAAAAAGCGTTCCTTGCTTTCACGCAAGAATAGATAGCCTTGCGGGACATGTCGTCGACAGCACAGTGTTGGCAGATCCACGTTTGTAGGCTGCAGACCCGGCAGACGTTTTGATCAGCCCGGCCTGGTGGTGAGATTTTGGACCCGGGAGTACTAAAAACTGCTCGCATCCCAGGGTGCTCAGTTTCGCTCTATCCGATCGAGTAAGGCTTCCAGAAAGGCCCTCAGGTGCGCGGCCTGCGGTGCCATAATATACCTCCGATAACTGTACTTTGGTTTGCCTGTTGCAAACCTACATTTTTTATTTTTTATTGAACGCACAAAGCGATGTACGATATACTAATAGCAAGAGTACATAACCCCCCAGAGTGTGCAACTCCACGATCGGGAGGAGGGAAATACATGCAGGTCAATAATTTCTGGGATCAGATGGACTCCCGCACTTGTGAATTGGACGAACATAGTGGAATTATTTACGCAGAACCCACCACCAGCGCTGCAAAAGTAAGTATTAGGTAGTTCGTTATGTCTCATAGCTAACTTACTTCAGTCATACATGTGTAAGTATTGAACGTTTTCGTTCCCTTCTTCTCAAAATACTCAAGGAAAGATGTAAAAAAAGTAAGCCGGTAGTAAGGGACTACAACTACCAAGACTCCCGGGAAGTTGCCCAGAGGTATAACTTTGATACACACACACGCACTTATCCAAAAAAAACAGTCAATTGTCGTCCACATCGGATACATACATTTAGCATACCATGGAAGTCCGACACCATCATAATTATCATCATCAATCTCTTCCCCATCTCATCATCAGTGTGTGTATTCTCTAGCAGCGAGCTTATAACTTTTAAACCAAGGCTTAGCGACAGGTTATAATCCGGCCAACACAGAATGCATACATCGTAAGTAACCATTCCATGGGGCATGGAGAGCTAGCCGAACTGGGGTAAATGGCAACAAGTTGGAATATAAAGAGCTGCAGTGAAGCATGAATGCAATGTGTTCAGAGTTTCACGCGACCATCAGACAGAAGTGACTTTTGATTTGTCAAGTACATAATTTTCTGTAGACTAAACAAAATAACTCAAAAGGCGCGGAGGAAGACTGCAGCACATATCATAGACTAAAATCCTTCATTCATACCTGTAATACCTGTATGCACAAAAGCGGAAGTACAGTAGTATGTACCAGTAGTTCAAGTGGTGACATTGTACATGTCACATGTAAGTCAGTACCAAAGCTCCGTGTACTTGTAGTATACTGCAAAATTAATTACTAGTAGGTAGTAAATTCTGAATAACAGAGTATGCAAGACTGTCTTAGTCCAGCTCTGGATAGCACACGGTGCATCACTGAGTTTGTTCAGAGCAGGGAGTCGTATAGACCCGGGAGGCGACACGCGCATCACTTGTGCACAACCATGATTGACTCAACGATTCAAAATATTACGACCTGCTCGGTGTGGGACAAGTCCGTACTGCGTACATAGGTCATAGCGCGCGGGAAATCCGTACATAGCGAGAAATCGTCGTCTTCGTCCTTTCGCCGAACAATTGTGGTCAGACTTTCTATCTCCATTGCCGAAATACAGCCATCTGTGGCCATCGCTGAGGAGTTCACTAATAAAGGGTCTTGTTCACTGGCTTACTCACTGGCTTTGCACTGCCACTCGAACTCTGAGGCACTTTGACCACCTAAGATGAGGTAATCCTTTCATTACAAATTGCCTCAATATTTTCTCACCTTTAGGGCAATGAAGTAATTTTTTTCCTCGTGACTAACTTCGACAGACCAAATTGCCCTGTCCCAGTGATTTACAATACTCATATTGCACATTGGTGAAATATTGGACCTATCCAGATAAACGAAATGACTTATATTCGAAATTACATTTTCCAAAGTTTTCCTTCACAAATAGTCCCAATTTGTTCTCACCTTTAGGGCAATGAAGTAATTTTTTCCTCGTGACTAACTTCGACAGACCAAGTTGCCCTGTCCCAGTGATCTACAATACTTATATTGCACATTTGTGAAATATTGGACCTATCCAGATAAACGAAATGACTTTTATTCGAAATTACATTTTCCAAAGTTTTCCTTCACAAATAGTCCCAATTTGTTCTCACCTTTAGGGCAATGAAGTCAATTTTTCTTCAGGACTAACATCGGCTAACAAAGTGGCGCTGTCCCAGTGATCTACAATACTTATAATCATTGCACATGTGAAATATTGGGAGTCACAGAGTGAGGAAATGGCCTAAATTGAAACTTGAACTGTTCCGCCAAGTTTTATGCAGTGAACGCAGGGCTGAGAGCACGCAAGAGCCACCCCGGAAGATCTTGTGCGCCACCAACCGAACCTTCGGTGAATGTTCACAAGGTTAGAAGCTCACACAGATAACACACATTGGATCAAGAGTACATAACTACTGTGTAGTTATGTACTCTTGATTGGATGCTAATAGTAATACAATGCACTCAGGAATGTGTGCAAATACAACAGAATTAATTCCAAATAAAGTCAACAATAGCTGCCTCAACACAGTGCTATCAACCTTCCGTATTTTCCATATTTGTACGGAAAATCACTACTTCGTCCGCACTATGGATTTTGAGAAAAATGTACGGAAAATTGAACGGGATTGATCAGTATGTATAAGCATTGCAAGTGCAAGCTGAGCGATGAAAAGAAGAGAACCGAGTGGAAAGAAAACGCTGCAGTGGAGAGTCCTTAGAAAAGACTGAAAAAATATCATAATATCGCTGCACGAGATCATCCTTATAAGTTATAACGTCAGCTGATCGTACTGTGGTTGATTCATACGGCGGTAAATACACACCTGCTCACACACGCTCTCTAAACTGAAAAGTTATTCTTGCACAGAGCTCTCCTTCCCGCCACCACCACCATCATCAGTTCGCGTCTGGCGCCTAGTCGATGCAGGGTGAGTGGTGTCCAACATAGCAGGCTGGTACATCAGGTAGCGTATGGCGCATAGCAGATGACACAGCAACAACATAGCTTGAATGCGGCGTACCTTTCGTCCCGGCTGGACTCATCAGGCAATCTTCTTCTTAGATGCCTTCACAAGGAGCTTGACTCGGGAGAATGAAGTTGAAGACTCCACTGCAACCGCACTTATGGTTGGTTCATATGGTGGTAAATACACACCTGGCAATATGGGGGTAAATACACGCCTGCCCAGACACGCTCTCCAAACTGCAAAGTTATTCTGGCACAGAGCTCTCCTTCTCACCACCACCACCACCATCAGTTCGCGCCTGGCGCCTAGTCGATGCATGGTTAGCGGTATCCAACATAGCAGGCTGGCACATCAGGTAACGCATGGCACATTGAAGATGGCCACGACACAGCTTGATTGCGACGTACATTTCGTTCTCTCGGTTGTGCTGTAGCCTGAAAAAGGAAATAAGATAATGCATCCACATGACACAGACAAGTAATTACTGTTACAAATAATGCATACTGCTTGATAACAGAGAAAGAAAGTCAGTGGTCACACAAGTTTTTGGTCGTCCCTGAAACGAAGATCGTTCCAGGGGGGGGGGGGGGGGGGGAGCTAAAATCTTAGTCGACTGACGCTATGCATACACATGTACGTGCATGCGATTTTCGTCGTCCATTCATTTCGGAGGGTGGAGAGGGGGTCCGAGTACGAAATGAATGATGTTTTTTCAGGGATGACTAATCACTTTTGCGATGACCCCTTATTGCATCAATTTATCAATCTGAACTGCGCAATTGAGTCCCACTTTTATTATGTTGGGTCCAGATTTCAAGACTCGTGAAGTTCAAGGCGAAAAGCAGGCCGATGAAGGGACGCCAGTAATTCAGTCTAGTCCGGTGTCATGGAGAGGGACCGATGAACCGGCAACAAGAGAATTCAATACGCATGCTACTCTACAGTTCATTGCTGGGGAAGACTACTCAAGGCCACGTCACTCCGGCAATTCAATGTACAAATCAGCAGCAACACTTGCAAACGTATTCCTACCAGCTGACCAGCAAGTTACCAGCCATCAGCTCTTCAAATAATTCCAACTTAACAAAGAGAGGAGATGGACAGATCGGAAGGTATCGTGGCAAGCTCAGGACAACACACGTCCGGCCCTATGTAACAACAGTGGAAAGTGCGTGCCATGGTATATTTTCGAAGGCATCTCAAGAACCAGCTAATGTGGACTGGGAGTCCATTTGCATCGTCCGATCAGCTGCTACAAGTGCCGTGAGCCAATGGCAAACACGTTTGACAGAGACTACTACTTCTACTGAATGCAACTTTGGCATGGCAGAGATCTACAAGCACGTTATCTTATCTATCAATAGAGCTGTATCCTCGTATGACTATGTGAAGTGTGAGGGTGTACTGTACTGCAGACGCGGCTACGACCTGGTTGGAAATGTACGCAACAGTTCCCACCCTCTTGACCAGAGATCGCACACACCCTAGGGTTTTGATGGGTTTGTACGACTCCCAGCTCTTGACTTTTGTTGGGTGTACGAGACGCACGCACAGTTTCCGTAGGGTGAGTACTTTTTCATGTAGTACTGAATGCGGCAAGCAGGACTCGCCCATCCGCCCCTCCCCAAATGGATCTACTCGAATGGTTGCGGAGGTAGGGGTGCTCTGGCGGGATTTTACGACATACACAAGCGCGCACACACGCACACAATATACACACGCACGCACACACATACACACGAACGCACGCTATGTCGCACGTCTTGGGCATGGCTTCGTGAATACAAATAATAATTTAATGTTATAATTTATAGTATCCAAATGTTAGAGCAGCTTTACAAAACCTACCGTTCAATACCGGATCATCTTGTGACAGCTTCCTTGCAACACCCATGACTTGACCCCACTTCGTCTTGACGTCGGGAAATCGTTCACACCGGAGTTGGGACACGACTCATTGAAATCCAGGCCTATCTGCTGCTGGGAGCAGGACACTGGGAGCTGATGGACGTCAGCAGCGGCTGTAGAACAACCATAAACCAGTCTTCTTTCTCCGTAGTCAGGCGGGACAGCAGCTTTGCAACGCAAGCTTCTTGCCTTCTGTGGGTCTTTAGCGGTTGGGATTCGGAACGCTCTGTAGAAACCATTGAACAAGTACTGCACTCTATCAACCCACAAGTATTTCTTCCAATTCATGATTATTCGCAACTTTTTATGCAGTACGCGCACCAGATCAGAAGCCGCTAAGTAGCATGCAAGGTTGAAAGTTTCAAGACAAATTGAAAAATATAATAACATAGAAAATTAGAATTCAAACCATACCTGTGGCCCAAGCCAACACAGACTGAGCGTTCACGCGAAGAGAACGTAGATCTACGTCAGCTGAGGTTTCCTTAGGATCAGGAGGTGACCCGGATCTGGATCGCGATCAGCAGCACTCTCTGCCTCCATCACGATCATCAAATGCAACTAATTACTTGGAAAAGTAGTTCATTCTTCTTCTTCTTTTCGAGCTACGATTTCCCACGATCCTACCGATCCTGCACGAGTCCGTTCCCCAAGGAGTGCACTCCCAAAGTCCCATGGCATAAGTACGCGGAGTAGTTGGTTTATAACTCAGGGCACGCACCGGGGATATCTGAGGGAAAAGTGGGAGAAAGTGCCGCGAGTCAATCATAGTCGGCCCGGAAGGCCTCGTGTCGCCTCCCGGGTCTATACGACTCCCTGGTTCAGAGTAGCACCCGTGCTTGGGGAAGTGCTGCGTTGCAGCAGACGCTTTTCTGCACCCCGTCACGAAAACGGAATCCTCGATTGACTATCACGACTCGTCCGCCCGACACCAATCCCTGGGAAAATATGATATCTTCCTTGAACGGTAGGGCGGGTTCATAGTCAACGTGACGTATCAGTCTAGTCCGTGTGTCCAACTGGTGCTCTGAGTAGCAGCGGTCGACTCGAAGGAATATGAATCCAGTGGGTGCTCGTTCGTTGCACTGGAGGAGCTTACTGGAGCTGTTTAGGTTGCGAGTGGACCACCATGAAGCTATGCCCACTTGAGCCACATTCGTATGTCTCTCGCAATGCATCTCAATCTCCATCATTGGCTTATCAGGATCCAAACGCTGCCAAGAGAGCCTACCATCCAGCTGATCAACTTGCATCTTTTCGATAGTGTCAACAGGCACACTGTCGTCGATCACCCAGCAGCCTGGGAGTCCCCAGAAACGAGCAATGTTCAAGATGTTGAAACGTGACCGGCCTATGGTGTGCTCCGTGTCGCTGATGTTCGATAGAACGAGGACGTGGAAGGTATTTTGGAAGTCCCCGTCCACCCTGTTCATTTCCTTGCAGCACTGCACATACTGGTCATGCTCTTCCTCAGGCACAAGCAGAATCCGTAACCAGGATGACTCAAGCTTCTTGTCGTAGCCTTTCCAGCTGAGGATATCCTTCTGGAATCTTCGCCTTGACGGAGTGAAGATATAACGAGTCACAGCCTGCCTGGTAGCAGCCTTCAGCTTTCCAGCGGGCCACTCTAACACATCTTCAACACTCCGTCCAATTCCACTGACACGATACGCCGAGTTAGCGAGGAGGAAGGCCTCCGGGTGATGCTTCTCTACACAGCAGAGTTGCGATTCACAGATTGAGCAACGGTTCAACTTTCTAAGTTGCTTGCTGGCAATTTGACATTGACGGATGGCGAGTACTATCAGTTCGTCAAATAGCTTCCTCTGCCAGGTCCGGATGAGTTCGGGGTCGATTCCACATTCCTTCCAAAGAGCACCATGGGAACTTTCGTCCTTTAGTATTTCTTGATCTAGTTTCGGCGCAAAATCAGTCATGTGGGGAGCCAATGCAGTCATGGGCCTAGCGTTGAGCCCGTTGACGTACAAGTTGTGATGCTCACGGAAGACCTTTGTCAGGATACGTACTAAACGCCCTTTAAAGACTTCGCAGTTAACCTTTGCTGGATCTTTACCAATAATATTCTTGACAATAGTGTGTAACTCTGCCCAAAATTTCTTAGTTTCATCTATGAGAAACCGACTTGATGACTCGTACCGAACGAATTCCACATAATGTGCAGACGTCCCTTGGCCAGTCACAATCTTTTCAAGATCCAAGTGGCCTTTTCTAGGGCCATCAGTATGGATCCATTCATCGCTTGAACCATACTTAGTGCCTGCATCTTGACATTTGAGCCAGACCGGAGGAGCATTAGCCATTCTCTTGCCGTCCTTCAGGCTTGCGAAACTACGAACCTACAACAGTACTGCTATTTGACCTTCCGATTGGCAGCTGCCAGCTAGGGAGAAATGTTGGTTTGCGTTGCGCAAACCGTAGTTAACCTACATTTCAGGTTTTTACCGTACCGTTTCTATGGTTGTAGCCAATGAGCGACGTTCCCGCGGTGGCCTTGATGAGCCGATAAACCCCGTGGTCAATGGATACGGAAAAATACGGTAGCAATAAAGCCCGTCGTCAATGGCACCCCGTACTCTGTCAGCCTAGCTCTGCAGGGGTCTGTGGCAGTTTTTCGTTGTCAGCTCAGTTCGCACCTCACATTCGACTGTGAACATGCTCTGGTACCTGGAAACAGCCTGTCCGAAAACGGCAACATGAAAAGTGTCTACACATCGTGGTCAGTTTTCAACTCAAGTTCTTGTTGTCGTGAGTGGAGATGAAATTTTACGATAGTTGTGAATAAGCGAAAGAGCATGCACCCATCTATCTGCTAAGAACCAAGCTGAAATAAGTGGCAAACATCGCGATCAGTTTTCCACTTTCTGTTCTACATGTACTGGTACCAAAAAAGGAGTTGACGAGTTGCCGAACTTTTCTGATAATTTTGAGGAAGCGAAAGATCATGGACCCGATCATCCCATCCATGAGAAGCAGACGGACTTGAAACTCACAAGCTGAAGGAGCTGAAACTCACAAGCTGAATCCACCACGTCCCCGACCACCACCCCTATACGTGTCTTGCTTTTATACCAGAAAAGCGAAAGACAAAACCTGAAACACCATCATAGAGCCTGGCAGGACTTTTCGCCTTCATCAAGGCCTCGTGCGTACGGCCGCGGGCGCAGGCCTCGGCGCTACGCGCCTTGGCCTGCGCCCTTGAGGTATATTATGCTCCGCAGGCCGCGAAAGAGAGCCCGTTACCTGGACCCCTACTCGCGCGGGTAGAGCGAAACTGAGCACCCTGGGATGCGAGCAGCTTTTTAGTACTCCCGGGTCCAAAATCTCACCACCAGGCCGGGATGATCAAAACGTCTGCCGGGTCTGCAGCCTACAAACGTGGATCTGCCGACACTGTGCTGTCGACGACATGTCCGGCAAGGCACCTCCTTGCGTGAAAGCAAGGAACGCTTTTTTTTTAGAAAGGAAGCTTCTTCTCCAAAATTTAAAATTTTTGAAAATTATTCCTTCTGAAAATATCATCGCGTTCTTGACCTCGAAGCTGACTGCTGAATGCGATTAGGAAAGAAGATTCCTGAAGATACACCAGACTGATTCTGGCAAGCCGTCTGTCGTCTAGATATGCAGTTGTTCGTCATGCATGGTCAGCAATCTTCCTCGTTCGTCCTTTCGTTTTCCTGACCACGATGATGACAAGCAGCTCTCATGCTCAGGTTAGTGCTGTACTTGTATGTCTGGGCACACAACACATCTGAGATTCACCCACTGACGTTATCGAGCTGAAGAATGCAGCAAGGGTTCCTCGGATTCTCTTGATTTCGGAACAAATTTCCTTCACTTTCACCCTCTCAGTCTCTTCCCCATGCCCTCCATGCATGCACAATCGAGTTTGCATTTCAAATGTTGTTTTTACTTTGGCAGTGCGTTCGATAACGTTAGGACAGTCTAAGTTAGGTGTTCTTCTCTTCAGGCTTATTGGACGTGTACAAATTCTAAAAAAGTAGCTTCCATATGCTAAACGCAGATCCCTGTGAATACGGTTCTGCTGGGCAATGATGTTTACACCAATCTACACTCTATGCTGTCACAGCATCCACAACTGATCCTCTCTCTCTGAATTAACTATTTGATAAAGCCAATCTTTAAATCGCTGTTGCATAGGATCTCGGGTGGGAAGAAGCGATGAATCGATACATGGCATTGTGAAGAAAAGAAGAACAAATTCACATTGCACGTGAGACTCGGTTAGAAAGACTGAGTTTCTGCATTCATAAGAATGTCACACCCCGGGGATCATGATAAAGAAAACATATGTCGTGAAAATGACTGAAAGAACCAAAGAAGTATTTGATCTTCCAGCCAGCTTAGCCTGGTACTACCATACTAGCAGTGCTACCAAGTACCAGCCCTCCATATTTTCTGTATTTGTACGGAAAATCACTCCTTGTGCGCACTACAGAAATTGAGCAAATGGTATAGAAAATCGGAGAGGATCAATCAGCTGTGTAGAAGCATTGCAAGTGTAAGCTGAGTGATGAATAGTCTTGTACCAAAGCGAGTGCATGCCGTACCACAACAACATGTACATGTAGCACAAAAATAATAATGTCGTGAGTGCAAGTCACACATGTTTTACACTACCAAATGCAGCCACCGACATGCATGTGCGTGTCAAAAAACATTACAGTGCAAGTATGCATGCAATGTACACGGCAGTACGCAAAACACTGCAAGATACGGAAAATCAGAAGTCTGAGTACGCAAAACAGACTCAATTGGTGGGCAGCTCTGTACTGGCCTGTACGGAGGGAGTGAATCTCAATGTGTGCAATGCACGCACTTTGGCCGACAGTGAAAACTATGCAAGTCGTGTTGGTTTGCAGGATGAATGTGAGTCCTTTTAGACAAGCGCCTTAGTGGAGTAGCCCACCGAAAGAAGAGTACTTGACACCGCGAAGTGGAGTCTGCGCATACAACAGTGAGGGGGTAAAATTAGCTATGACTGATTCTGCATGTGTTCTGCATGTGTGTCACATTACACTAGCAGATAGGCACACTTGTTGTTCCAAAAAGATGCTTATGTCAGTGTCTGAATACAGTAAGATCGGGCGCCGAAGAACACCCAGGCTGGAAAACCTGCAAAATTTAAGAACAGTCCAGGCTAGAATTATCAGATTTAAGCACACTTTTAAAATTTGGAATTTCCACATGAGTGCAGTATGTGTAAACAGTAACTGCTACATGTACAGTCATTCCCATTTACGACACCCACTAGTATAGTTTAGAAGTACCACATCATAAGTCATTGCACTACACGTACATGTACATGTACATGACAAACGTCATGACGTCACTCGACTCGCAGCGCGCGTGTGAATAAGAACGGTCTGGCTAGAATCAAAAATTTAAGAACTTTCCTAGGCTGCGCTCGAGCCCCTGCGTTCTTCGGCGCCCGATCTTACTGTATGTCGTGTACCAGGTAATATTGTTGCCAGGATCTCACGGTGAGAGTCAGACTTGAATATGGTATCAATAGATTATCAATATCATACATCACCATGTACCACCCAAAGTATAATAGCCGAAGGACCCGTTTGTGTGGTGGTGTATGATTTCGTGAGCAAGATGAAGTGGCTACAGATGTGTCTTATATAACACCCTAAGAAAAGATCATCAATTCTGGGGAAAGTGATTCTGGTAGCATGTTGTATCCAGTGTGGCATGACAAAGACTCCCTCGATTTAGCCTGTGGAGAATCCGTAAATACATAAATACAATACATCCAGGCATCGCAACCTTCGGATTATATGCTCTTTTGCTTGCCTCCTGGAGTGTGGTTGTACCTTGGTTCACTGTATTAGAATAATAGTAGACTTTGTTTTTCGAATTCGTTTCTATAACATTAGGTTTCTTTCTGTTGCTGCTATGTCTTTTCATGTGTTTTACAGGATTGCCATCTGTTGATGAATACCACTCTGAGGCACTCTCACGAGCGAAGGTGTTTGAAAATCCATGTCGGAATGATGGTCATGTTGGCCTAAAGGTGCATTACATTGCCGATACTCGCCACCTCCACCCTGGAACATGTTCAATTTCTGTTTCTCGTATGGAAGGACCGAACAGGTTGTTTTCCTGTCTCAGTGGACCACTCAAGACTGAACAGCACTGATGGAAGAAGATTTGCCGTGAATCTCGTTCACATAATCAGCCTGTTTAATTGCTGTACTGAGGTGACTGCTTCATAACAATGACCATGCAGCATTAATTTTGGATAGTATTGCAGTGCCCCTAAAATTGGAGAATATCGAATTTCTCTGATAGCATTGTGATTCATTTGTGAATAAACATCACTACTCTTTTTGAGTAGCATAGCAATGACAGAGTTGGTTTAATGTATGACAAAATGGAGCCGCTTTTTAACTTAAACCTGTACTATAATCAGTACCGCCGGAAGCAGTTTTTGATTGGTCCGGTAGTTTCATGGCGGGTACACACGTCCTCCACGGTAGGAAACGTTTGTTGGTGGCCAACAAGTTGGTCTGGTGATAACCTGACCAACCAGACCGGCGGGCCTGATAATTGTGGGGCTCATGAGCAGCTCAAGTACTTAGTATGGTTTTGGACATGTCCCCAGTTAACCAATGAGAATAACCGGAAAACAAGGGGGGCTTTAGATACCGGGCTGACTTAAATTAACAAGAGGCAGGATAAGCGCGTTACGGGTTGAGCTTGTCGAAAACCAATTGTACTTCATTATGTGTGAAGGGGTTTTATGAAGAAATATTTTATGAACCAGTGTACAGAGATGGTGCTTATGACGAAAGGAGAGAGGAGAAGTGTGTGAAAGTCGATAAAGGGCATCCGAAGGAACACATCGATCCTTGTTGTAAAGAATATTAAGTATAAATCTATGGTTGAAACCTACTTCCCCAAGCGTTCTCTGTTAAGTATAAATCTATGGTTGAACCCGACTTCCCCAAGCGTTCTCTGAGGGGACCGAGGTCTACTCTATCAGTTCATGTATTCTGTGAAGTGACATGACCATTCGTGGGGACCTTGCTCATAACTGCAAAAGTCCTCGTCTGATTTTTCCGCATCAATTGAACGTTATACATGTGCATGTAGTGAAAGCCACATGCAAAAGGCTGTTCCATGGCACTCATCTGCCACCAAGCTCTGGGTTCATTGGCTGAAAATATTCTTCGGCACAGTAAAGTCGTGCGCCCAAGAACGTGGAAGCCTACAGAACATCCAACCTGGAATACTAAGAACACCACAGCCCAAAATTAAGAATTGCGGTGTAGGTTTGTGCTGTTGTCAAACACCGGGATTGTTATGTTGCACATGTATCTGAGCTTTACCACTACATACACGTCTGTCTTTACACAATTACCAATCTGCAGACAGCATGCTGTTTCGTCCTTTAGTTACTAATGGACTCATCAATGCAGCACAGAGAAAATGAGGCAGGTGAATGTCCTAGGCTAGAGAGCATCAAATACAGGTATAGAATCATGCCTTGCAGATCTCGTTACGGCCCCTTCGATGCATGTCTGAACATTAGATGGCTGTGTAGCTTCAGTTATCTCAGAATATGTACTATTTATCCAGCAGCAACAACGTTGGTCACACAACTATTCACTATAATGAGTATGCGTTGGAACACTTTACCCCGAGTCATACTATAGCAGTGTATGCCATGCATGGGTTTACCTCACACACTGAATTTCATAATTTGACATCCAAATCACAGAAGAGTGGTGTTCCAAACTTTACGTAATTGCACTCCATGTCCTGCGAGCTACAGTAGAATACTTCAATAGAAAATTTCTTATAGCACGTTCTTAGAAACAAATCGTATAGGTTCGAGGCTGTCAACCCAGAAATTTGTGATTTCACAGCCATAGATGTTACCAGTCAGGTCACTGTATACAGTAGGTATGCAGAAGAAAATACTAGTAACTCTTTGTGGAAGAGCTGTGCCAAAATGTGTACAGTACAGTAAATTAATAAAAAATGAGAAAAGCAGTGACAAGGCTGTGCATGATGTAGATCTACTCGTACCAGTAAGTACAGTGCACCAGTGAAATTGTTGGTGTAGTACCGGTATACTACTATAATTATGGCATGGCCCATGCCACTACAATCTATTTGCAGTGGGCCGCAGTAGGCCAGTGCAACAGAAAGCATTTCAGAAGCTGTGTGCAATGTTAACATCTATGACATACAAGTAAACTGCCATATAGCACAATCGATTACTGTCAGCCCACATAAGTACAATGTAGGCCAATCAGTAGTATAGATACATAGAGCACACTCTACATCATACATAGTCGGCACCAAATCTATGTTGTCGATGTACTTTGCAATGATGACATGATGGCAAGCGTGCTTGATTCATCATAATATTGCCTTGTACTTGGTTGGAAGTTAGTTGCAAGTTCAGTGGTCGAGGTAAGCAGAGCTGCTCCAGCTTTCAGAATCCTGCATGAAAAAGGCAGAAAGCAAATGTAGGTATAATAGTAGCAAGCTGATGTAAAGAGCCTGTCTTTCAATGCAATAATTCTATCCACTGCATGGACAGACCTGGTGCTTCATTCACCTCTGTTTCTTGCTTTCTCAGAAAACCTACTTCCTCCTTCAGCCATCTAGCTCATGATATACATTAATTTTTCTTTATGCCTTTTCAGCCGTGGTCGACTTTTGCCCCTCCTGTTTGATTGGCAATTGCAGTCAACCTGGGGAATACTGACCCTCGATTGTGAATGAGAAAAGTGTCGCTATTCGCATTGTTGTTACTCGTGAGGTTGGAAGTATGCAATCAAATGTTCACTAGATCTGAAGATTGTGTCGTTATTTGCGAGTTGTTTTGTAAACCCGAGGTAGATTATTCACAAGGTTGATTGTACATGCTATGGGATGTACAATAACTAACCAAACAATAATGGTGTAACAATGATTTGAGTCCATATCCAATTGGATGAACCTAGAGTGCATGATCCATTCCAGAAAGGCGACTTCAGTGAGTCTTGAATTGTCAGCAGCATCATACTTCCATCGAGCTTTTTTTCTTTTTCGAAACGACCCTCTCTTTTCAATTCGAACGAAGGTCAACATACGATTATGGCAGGCATGCACGCACTGATCTTCACTGTATACATGTGCATGTATACTGTACTGTAGTCTGTGCAGTCAACTAGTCGTGTTCCACTTGGCTTACGGTAAGTATCACTACAAGTGCATAGTAGCCCCCCCCCCCACCCCGGGGAGTGCGCGTGAACGGCAACTGTGAACTGGTAAAAGAATTATTCGACACCTTCGTTCGTTTCGATGGAGAAGGTTCATCTGGCAAATTGAGGCCTTCGTTTCACTCCTAGCCCCAGGAGCGAAATTTTCACTCCTTGGCTGCCTGTTTGAGCCGTCCTTGTGGAAGGGTTGATTTATGCATGCCCGCATATACATGTAGACCTTATTCAATAAACGTCACAATCACGTGAACCAGGGTCCCGGGAACCAGGGAGCGGCAAGAGACCTGCACTCAGTGCACAGTGGACTCGGCGTGGGAACATAGGAGTAGAAAAATACCGGTATTTTACTACTCCCTTGTACGAACTGGGCCTTTCTTGCCACTCGTTTCACGTACGCGTGCCCCAGCTTACAACAAATCCCTGGAGGCGAGTCCAAAAATCACGTTATCGAATAAGGTCTATAGAAACACAGATCACGTAGAACTACCCCATCCGGGGTCACAACTCACAACGTTTTGGGTACTTAGGTCTCATGTCGTCTCCCCAGGTGCTATGAATCCCTGATGCACATGTATCTACATATACAATGTAACCGTAACTCTACCAATATTGCGGACGATGACCCCCCCCCCCCCCGGCAAACACAAAGTCGCTATGTCCTGGCCGAGTTTATCTTTTAATTAAAATGGTTTTCTCGGTTGGGATTTCATACCTGACAACCATCCCGATTTGGCCGGGACCGTCCCGATATCGAGGGCGGTAATAGGCACCCAAAAGTGCACTAGTTCCATGCCTCACCGCGAGCTTCTTTTGTATACATTTTCATGCCTAGGTATGTCATTGGATCTCAGGTTTGCAAAGGTTGGCAGGTATGGGATTTGTAGAGTGACCAGTTTTGGCCACCTGCTGTGCAGAAGTGTCATTCCTACATCCTGGCTGCAAACGTACCCCCCCCCCCCCCCACACACACACACCACCACCAACAATGTTCGATCCTATTTACAGGACCTCACTCTATATGAAAGTGTAGCAGAGGCACTGCCAAAGTATAAAAAACAGCAATTGAAATGCAAGCTGCATTGTGCATGCATGGAGGGCATGGGGAAGAGACTGAGAGGGTGAAAGTGAAGGAAATTTGTTCCGAAATCAAGAGAATCCGAGGAACCCTTGCTGCATTCTTCAGTTCGATAACGTCAGTGGGTGAATCTCAGATGTGTTGTGTGCCCAGACATACAAGTACAGCACTAACCTGAGCATGAGAGCTGCTTGTCATCATCGTGGTCAGGAAAACGAAAGGACGAACGAGGAAGATTGCTGACCATGCATGACGAACAACTGCATATCTAGACGACAGACGGCTTGCCAGAATCAGTCTGGTGTATCTTCAGGAATCTTCTTTCCTAATCGCATTCAGCAGTCAGCTTCGAGGTCAAGAACGCGATGATATTTTCAGAAGGAATAATTTTCAAAAATTTTAAATTTTGGAGAAGAAGCTTCCTTTCTAAAAAAAAAGCGTTCCTTGCTTTCACGCAAGGAGGTGCCTTGCCGGACATGTCGTCGACAGCACAGTGTCGGCAGATCCACGTTTGTAGGCTGCAGACCCGGCAGACGTTTTGATCATCCCGGCCTGGTGGTGAGATTTTGGACCCGGGAGTACTAAAAAGCTGCTCGCATCCCAGGGTGCTCAGTTTCGCTCTACCCGCGCGAGTAGGGGTCCAGGTAACGGGCTCTCTTTCGCGGCCTGCCGAGCATAATATACCTCCGCCCTTGGCCGTACGCACTCGGCCTTGATTCAGCCGTAAAGTCCTGCCAGACCTCTATGATTGTCTACGTCACAGAGCCGCATCTCCCGCATGGAGATGCCGTCCGCGGACACGCCAAAACCGGCTAAGTCTCATACGAGCTCCGCTAAAGTCGTACGCACTGCCGGGCTCCCGCGTGGGGCCCCACGCAAGCATTTGCAACCGCGACGCGCGTACGGCATGACGTATAAGCCACCTATCAGCCTTGGGTGCAAGCTCACCCAAGGCCACCCTCGCAAGGCAGGAACAAGTAAAGACATTCACCAGTTGTTTGTTGTGTTTGCCCGCCGCAGAAATTGTTTTAATTTGAAATTGTCTTCTTCTAAGCTTCCGCTCTCAGCGATAGTCTTTACACCCACCATGGCTTTCTCGGATTCACAAATGGAGTCTATCCAGCAGATCGTGGCAGCCAGCGTGGCAGCAGCCCTCAGTGGCAACGCACCGGAGAACGTCACGGAGCACCAAGAAGACGGTATGTGTGCTGATCAATTAATGCACCATACGAACATGGGTTACCCCTCCTGCATTTCGCACGTCTCGTTGGAGACAGTGGATCGGATCAGACGAGTCGAGTATATAGATCTGGCAATACTGCTCCCGCCCAAATCTATTTCTACCGGGGAGCCAGCCCCTAAGAGGTTCCGCATAGACGAGGAAGGGGCACTTTCGGTGACAAGCGCACCGAAAGGGAAAATTGAGAACCTTGCCACGTGGACCGAGGCATGGTCTATTTTTAGCCTGATCGCCATCCGCGATCAACCTCGCTGCGCCGCTGCACTGATGCAGCACCAAATACGCATGGTACAGGCAGCCGGGAAGTACCGCTTCTCGGCAGTCATGGACTACGACACGCGGGCACGCCAGGCCCTGTCAAAGGACCCAAGCCGATCCCTGGCGGAGCTCGACACGGAGCTTTTCGCGACGTGTTTCACGGGTCAGGCCCTTCCCAATTGCAGCATTTGCAAGAAGGTGGGGCACCTGGCCGGAGCATGCACCTCGGCCTTTCGCGGCAAGCAGGCGAAAGAGAGTGCAAGCACTAAATCAACCGAAATCTGCCGCCGTTACAATCACGGCGCCTGCAGCGGCCCATGTCGCTTTCGACACGCCTGCCTCGTCTGCTCAGGCTCGCACGCCGTGTCAGCCTGTCCAGCCAAGAAATAAGAACGAACAGCAATCAGCCCCGGCACCACTTTCTTGCATTCACCCACCCCCTAACACCCCTATGAACATTGCTGCATTACACCCCAACACCCCTATCAATATTGATGCATTACACACTGAATTGCTGGCGCACCCTAATCCTGCATTTGTTCATTCTCTAATTAGCAATCTACGTGCCGGCTGTCGTATTGGGTTCACCGGACCCCGTGATGTGTCCGTACGCAGCCCGAACTTGTCTTCAGCGGCAGCACACCCCGAGGTCGTCGACCAGTACCTGGCCACGGAATGCAGTCGCGGCCACACCGCTGGCCCCTTCAACGCGCCGCCATTCGTCCATCTGCGCACCTCTGGCGTAGGTGTGGTCCCCAAGAAGTCGGGCGGCCACCGGCTCATCATGCACCTGTCCGCCCCCGATGGGAACAGCGTCAATTCGTTCATTGACAAGCAGGCCTATCGTTTCTCCCTAATTACGATTGACACGATAGCAGACCACGTGCGCAGGACGGGCCCCGGAGCCCTCCTGTCAAAGGTGGACCTGAAGCACGCTTTCCGACTCTGCCCCGTGCACCCTGACGACTGGCCGCTCCTCGGCATGTTATGGAAGGGCAACTACTATTTCGACACTGTCCTGCCATTTGGCCTACGCTCCGCTCCCAGTCTGTTTAACTGCCTGGCTACCGCCCTAGAATGGATCCTCCGTAATAACTACAGTATCCCTGCACTGGAGCACTATTTGGATGACTTCGTATCAGTGTCTCCAGCAGCCGAGTCTGTCACGTCCTCTGCGGCCGCGACCCACAAAGCCACTATTCTGCAGGTCTTCGCAAAACTGGGTGTCCCAACAGCAGACGGCCCGGACAAAGTTGTTGGCCCCGCTACCTGCCTCACAGTGCTTGGCATCGACATTGATTCAGCGGCAGGGGAGCTGCGGCTCCCAGCCGATAAGCTCCGTACATTGCGGCAACTCCTAGCAGCCTGGGCCACCCGGCCATCAGCGTCCAAACACGAACTCCAGTCCCTCGTTGGCCACCTGGCGTTCGCCGCCAAGGTCGTGCCAGCCGGTCGTACGTTCACTCGCCGCCTCATCGACCTGTGTTCCTCAGTCACCAGCCCTGCCGCGGCCGTCCGCCTCACCAGCGAGGCTCTCGCCGACATCAAATGGTGGCAGGATTTCCTCCCACTATGGAACGGAAAGGCCCTCCTACGCGACCCCGTATGGTCAAAGTCCCCGGACCTGGAATTGTTCACCGACGCGTCTGGCAGCGGTTTCGGCGGCTTTTACCAGGGTTGTTGGTTCGCGGGCACATGGTCAGCGGCGCAGCAGGCCCCACCGTACACGTCCATAATGTGGAGAGAGATGTGGCCCATCGCCATCGCCTGCCAACTCTGGGGCCCCCACTGGGCACAGAAGAAGATTCTCCTGCACTGCGATAATTCAGCAGTGTGCACCGCCTGGGAGTCCGGCACATGCCGACACGCCGGGGTCATGGCACTGATACGCAGCACCATGCAACTCACCGCTCGCCACAACTTCTGCCTGCTCGTCCGTCACATCGCCGGCGTCGACAACAGCATCGCAGACGCACTCTCCCGGGCCCAGTTCCAGCGCTTCCGCCGTCTGGTTCCCGACGCGGAGACTGCCCCATCGTCACTCGCCAGTGCCCAATCCGACAACAGATAGTCGCATCCGTCTGCAGCTGGCCAGGCGCCCCAGCCGCCAATTCAAGCTCCCAGCAATCCCAGCTACCACTGCGCGGGCTCGCCGTACGTCCGTAGTCCCCCCAGCCCAGCATCTGGCATCTCTGCTCTTTTCTTGTTGTTTTGTTTACCCTACTCTACTAACCCACCTACAATTTCCGCTGGCAATGATCCATGCCCTCGCCGGGGCGAACCCTTCTTGGTCTATCTTACCACTCTGTGTGCTTAATGGGCTTATCTGGCCCCTTAGAACCCCCCCCCTTTTCTTTTTGGGAGGAAGGGGGGGGGGGGCGACACCCCGCAGGCCCTGAGCCGGCGACCGCTGTCCTCGGGGGCACTCCATATGTACGCTATACGTGTGGCCCGCATGGCACAAACAAAATATGGGCCATGCACCGGGTTGCCATGCTACCGAGGCAAATTGTAGAGGGCGTTAAGCCTACCTAGCAGGTGTAGGTTTGCCTGTATACTAGGGGCACGGCTCCGTGAGCCTGACCTACTCGCTGTCTTGTGCTCTGCGTGTATATCCAGGCTCGCAAGCCGCGCGCATAACATCCCGCCGGATGTCCACCTCCCGCCGGAGGATCGCCTACAGACACCACCGCCGCAAGCAACGGCTCCGCGAGCCAACGCTTCGCCGCCCGCTGTCTTTTAGTATTGTTCTGTGTGCCTATCCAGGGTCGCTAGCCCCGCTCGGATTACATCCCGCCGAACATATAACTCCCGCCGGAGAATTGCTTACAGACACTGCCGCTGCAAGCTGCGGCTCTGCCGAACCAAGGCTGCGCCGCCCGCTGTCTGTTGTTCTGTGTGTCTGTCCAGGGTCGCCAGCCCCGCTTGCATAACATCCCGCCGGATGTCCACCTCCCGCCGGAGGATCGTTTACCGCCGCAAGCCACGGCTACGCAAGCCAACGCTTACGTGCCACCCCCATGCGTCCACCCGCAAGGCTAAGTACCTATGGGTTAGGCCAATAGCAGAGGCTCCCACCCCGCGGGGCTGGGGGAGGGGGCTCTCGGGTCGTATTTGCATTAGCCCCACAGCATGGGGGCGAACCTCGGCCAAACCAGTACCGGAACGCCCCGCCGAGGTCAGGGGGGAGATCTTCCACTAGCATAACCCACGGGTCCCCTGCTTACAATCCGCAGCCATGCCGCCGGGCCAGTGCGTTCCGGGAAGCGGGCCGCTGTTCGGCGACCCGGCGCAGCACACATACACCGCAGCTTGGCCGCCGTGCCACCCTGCCTGTTTAGGGAACATGCTCGTGTGCGGACGTATGCGTGTGTGCGTTTGTGTTGCATGCACTTGTGCCTGTGTCCTCCTAGGCTCGCTAGCCGCCGCTCTCTCAGCGCGAGCAGAGCACCTGATTGCCAACTCAGTAGCCACTGGCACACAGCGCACGTACGCCCCAGGCTGGCGTGCATTCTTGGAGTTCATGGGTCGCATGCGCCGCGACGCACATCACCCAGATCAGAACGACGTCCTGCTGTTCGCTGCCGCAATGTCCCACTCAGTCAGCGCCAGCACTCTGAGAGTCTACCTGGCCGCGATCAAATACCACCTCCTCCGCATGGGAGGCCCGGTCGGGGTTACATCCTCTAACCGCATCACAGCCCTGCTCAAGGGCTTGGAGAGGGAGAGAGCGTCACTTCCCAGGCATCCGTCAGCACGCCCTCAGCGCCAAGCGATCACCGTCCACAAGTTGAAGGCTCTCCGCCAGTTCTTGGATCGGACCTTGTACTCCCCGGCAGACAGACTAATGCTATGGGCTGCTCTGACGACAGCCTTCCACGGCCTGCTGCGTGTGAGTGAGTACACGTCGCCGTCACCATACGGTCCCGGCGGCCTCAAGACACTGAGGCGCGAACACCTCCGGCTAGCCCAGCAGGAGGCCTCTCTGCAGCTCCAGAGGACGAAGACGTCTCAATTAACAATAGGCGGGGAGGTAGCGCTGCATCGCTACGCCGACCCCGCACTATGTCCCGTCCGAGCCCTGCAGGCTTACGTTCGGTCCAGCAAATGGAGCAATGACAAGCAACCCCTATTCAAGTTTCAGGATGGTCGCCAGCTCACGCCGAACGACATCAATGCTGTACTACACAAAGTGCTAGGTCCAAGCATCAGCAGCCATTCCTTACGCGCCGGGGGAGCCACACACATGGCGGATCGAGGCGCACCGGAGTATGCCCTGATGGCTGCAGGCCGCTGGTCCAGCGGGGCATATCGCACGTACATTCGCAGGCCCGCAGGCATGCCACAGCACTACTAGAGCCTGCGTGTCGCAAGCCACTCGGTACCTTTATTGGAGGCACGGGTGCTGCCAATGGGCGCCGCAGAGTGCACGCACATCGGCACCATTGAACTATTCATGTGTACTAAGATTTAGTGTTCCGCTGCCATAGCAACCTAGTAGTACACGTAGCCGTTCCGACGGCGCAGGACCCCGCGGGTCGCTTCTGCTGTCCTTGCCTCTCTGATGCGTGATATGTGTACATCATTTATAATCATGACCTCATACTGAGTACATGTACGTCATACTTGATTACCGATCACAGGCTCATGATTATTCATGCTGGAATAAACGCTTGCGACACCCCACAGTACACATGGTACAGGCTCGTCTCTAAAGTGTGGCATGAGGGTTAAGTTTTGTTTTTTCACGGCTGAGCGTAGCGAAAGAGTGCAAAAAACGTATTTTTCACTCACAAATATTTTCGTGCATTTGCTCTTGTTCTGCGCAACTCCGTTGAACCTGCCATCGTGGTCTTTGTTTTTCCTCGTGGTAGTTGAAGTTTTCAAGTGCTCCAGTTTTTAGTTTCCACTCGCAGCCACACAACACCACAACTCATCTTATTATTTTTTCAGAGTAGATCTACAGTGTAATAGTCCAGAAGAAAGAAACGACAGTGCCGTGCACCGTCTATAATGAATCGGTCCAGCCTACAAAAGGTCCACATCGCCTGATTGGGCCTGCAAGCTGATGTACCAGTAACCTGACGTTTTTGGGAGCTGCAGATCGATCTGCGAAAGGCGGAAACAGCTAAAACGAGCTGAGCGCAATCCGCCACACACAAGCAAGTTTGGTACTATACCAGGCGGAGCAGAGTCACCGTTGACAGCTACACAAATCAGGGCGTTTCGGACGACCAGCAAAGATTGTGGAAGTAAAATTTAGTTGACAAAACAATTGGTCACTCAGTTCCGACATGTCGAGTCGACACCTACCTGTACCGCAACCATACCCCTCAAAGGCTTCAGCGAGTCCTTGAGAGTTTTCCGTGGGCGCAGTGATGAGATCGAGAGTCTACGGAGTCGGTGATGAGCGCTGTCGATCACAACATCGTGTCCCAAATGGTGGCGAAGCTCCTGGCAGAGCTGACACCGCAGTCATACTGAAGTAGTTGTCTGATATCGTGGCGAAGGGCAGCAAGTTCGTAGCTGTCTGTTGACAACACCAACCGGAGTTCACTGGGACAGCCAGCCAGTTTTCGCACCGCACATGGACCGGAGAGAAAAGATAAGTATCAGTACTTGAGACTGTGGATGTTTTTTCGATAATTTACGAAGTACATAATCATGTAGTTGACACAATCGAAAGGGGTGTACATGCCGTCGTATTCAAGGGAGCAAACAAACGCCCAGCCCGTACCGCCCTAGGCCCTACACAGGGTGCATGATCAATGTCACGGGACCATCAGAATGTTATGGATGTGCAGAGCGAGGTACATGACTGTATCGTGTTTGTAGAGACAACCATGAACAACAAGAGTAGTTAGTTTGTCAGTCTGAGTACAAAAATCGGGCAACAATGGCATGGCAGTAAATGTTGTCCAAGTCAAACATCGTGCAAAATGCTAGTAGATTTACGGCCAGGTGTAATCGACGTCCGCAGCCATCGGACACACAAGGGGGGGGGGGGGGGGGACAATTGGCCGGCAGGACGAGACAAATGTTTGTTTGTTTTTTCACGGGTGGGGCCCACCAGACATGGTTCCAGAAGAAATTCACGCAAAAGTTGACTGCTTGCTGACTTCAAACTTGTATTCCTGAGGTGCCCATCCACCTCACTCACGTCAGATTATTAGTAGTATTATTCACACATTTCTACCGAATGAGTACGCGGCTAAGCAGTACAGGGAGCCAGCATAATATGTTCTCTCAGCATAAAAGCAAGCAAAGAATAAGGAGTACATGGGCAATGGAAACAGTTCCAAAGTACAGCCTGGGATTGTATGAGTGCAAACATGTACGACAATAGTCATGTGCTATTACAGCAAGCGACAACAACACAACAGAGAATGTGACAGCAACCGCAGGGGGGCGTGCGATGTTGACCAAGGTTGGGAAGCAGTACTGTCCAAGTTTCCTTCGTCCAGAGAGTAAGACTAGGGTTCCTGAACACGCTCAAAATAAGTGTACGTTCCAGACGGAGCGATAACTAAAGCGGCAGGTAGCGCGTAGTCCTCACTCGGTCGCTGCAGTCTGCAATGTGCGAGGTGAGGTAACATGATGGCACACTGCACAACTCCACTGTTGTAACGCCAAACCAATTCATAAAAGTTAAGCCACCACTTTGATTGTGTAAGGTGTGCGAGACACCCCAGTCAGCTGCCAGGCCAAGTCAACTGGTTAAAGCTTTACGTATCTTGATCTTGCTCGTGCATGCCGTCCTTATGTTTTCGGTGTTGAATCTTAATGAAGCATTTATATATGTTTTCCTCTTGCTGTCCTTTCAGTACCAAGCCAGTACCTAGGCCGTGGAACAGACACCGGATCACCCACGACTGGACATGATGCAAGCGATTGGGAACGGCCTTGTGTGGTGTATAAATGGGTAACCCGGCTTGCCATTATTTAGTGTGTATGTAAGTGATGACGGAGTGAGTAAGAAGCCCGATGGGCAGTGATGACACATGATTGCGTAGGGCTTGATGCAATAATCACGGAGAAGCCCAATGGGCAGTGAGGACACAATATTGTGTATGGCTTGATGCCATGATGAGGGAGAAGCCCGATGGGCCGTGATGACACATGATTGTGTATGGCTAGATGCCATGATGAGGGGGAGGGAGAAGCCCGATGGGCAGTGATGAGTATGGCTTGGTGCCATGATGAGGGAGAAGCCCGATGGGCAGTGATGACACATGGTTGTGTATGGCTTGATGCCATGATGAGGGAGAAGCCCGATGGGCAGTGATGGCACATGGTTGTGTATGGCTTGATGCCATGATGAGAGAGAAGCCCGATGGTCAGTGATGACACATGATGGTGTATGACTTGATGAACGATCATGTGGTTATGAATAATTACAGACATGTTGAAACCGAGTGAGAGAGAGAGAGAGAGAGTGAGATTTACATAGAGGTATGTGGGTTTTTATGTCTCGGTACCGGCTTTTCACCCCGTTTTTTGTCGGGGCACGCGGAGGAGTGTACGTGCACTGGCAGTACGTGTGTGTACAGTATGTGTGTGTACAGTACGTGTGTGTGTGTACAGTACGTGTGTGTACAGTACGTGTGTGTGTGTACAGTACGTGTGGGTACAGTGAGTGTGTGTGTGTGTGTGTGTGTGTGTACAGTGAATGTGCGTAAGGGTGCATGTGTGTGCAGTAAATGTGTGAGGGGCGGACGTGTGCATTCGATACAGGATTCCTTCTCTTGCAGGAACTGAACGGACGTCCAGCCCAATTACGGAAGTACAGCACCTCACATTGAATTTACTGGCAGTACTACTCCATGATGTAGCACTCGCAACCTAACACGGGAATTTTCGGGCATTTCGCAGAGATTTTGTCGGCTCGGAGTGCACTGCTGATCATGTTATCCTGGCTGATGTGTGCTCGCCCGGTTGCCACCGGACCCAGCCTGGCCTACTAGTGAGCATCCCAGGGCAGGTCTGGCCGGGTCTCCATAATGTTCGTAGTAACTATACACTTGGCCACAGATGGTGGTCACAGTGCCCAAGACTTTGGCACACTGGCGCCATGCGCCACACTGCTCGTTTTCCTTGTCCAAATCTATGTGTGCTGCTTTCCTATCGGCCTCACTATCCTTTACATCGTGAGTGTGATTGCTCTGGTAGACCACTACCCCATCTACTGAACAGTCGCTTTGTGAGTGAAAAGTTTTGTTTTTTCACGGCTGAGCGTAGCGAAAGAGTGCAAAAAACGTATTTTTCACTCACAAATATTTTCGTGCATTTGCTCTTGTTCTGCGCAACTCCGTTGAACCTGCCATCGTGGTCTTTGTTTTTCCTCGTGGTAGTTGAAGTTGCCCGCCCACCCACCCTGGTTTCATGGGAGTCGTCCGCTGTTCTTCTTGACAATCTATGCCTATGTGTGTGGCTTATGATTATGACATACACCGGTTATTACATACCATTTCTTGCTATCTTTATTCTTGGGTCTGACTGGCAGCGGGGCAGGAATTAATGAAAATAGAAAGGTTTTTTGGCCGAAAGGCGTGTTTTTCCTCTAGCCCGGTTGAGCGGTCGCGGCTAGGAATGTAGGGAGTCATTGTTTTTCAGGCGCTCCCCTGCTGCCCAGTCACCCATGCTCACCACTGGCCATGCTGTTTCACTTGATTTCACGGCCTTTTCTCCCGCTTGCTGGCGGTTCTTTGATGGATTTAGATGTTTTTCGGCTATTTATCTATTCTGTGGCTGCGAGTGTGGTTTTTTGCTTCTACTCATTTCTGGAAAACCACCACGGTGGTGAGTGTGATTGCTCTGGTAGACCACTACCCCATGTACTGAACAGTCGCTTTGTGAGTGAAAAGAGCGATTTCTAAAGAAAGTCCACGCTACAAGTACTCATTCTGCTCAGCCTCAACACGCCGAGCAAGCCTTGTCGCTCTGCACCAGTCTCCATCACCGGTGCAGAAATGACTGTGTGTTTCCCGTGGGCGGGGGGGGGGGGGCGATGTTCGCAGATGAGTCTAGCTAGTGAGGCGGAGGCGGGTCGCTAGACAGATCCCGGCACGTCGCAGATGGCCACTGACGATGACGGTGGACCATGGTGGACAAGAACCTTGTCACTGCTACATTGTAGATCTACGGAGTGTGCGAAGACTGCAAATCAAGAATAGAGACTGATGTCTGCTGCTCCGTCAGGCTCGCCGCTTGACAGATCCCCTCACGCCATATGTAGATCTACGGATGTAGTCCGTGAGCAAAATCTCAGAATCGGCCATTTTAGCATTGACCGTTGCACCCAGAGAGGGACAACTACCATCCTGAAGCGATTATTGTCTGTGGACTGTAGTTCCGAAAGTGTCCTGCAAAGACGTGTCAAGCATGTTTCGAACGACACGTTACGTACGTGTCTACAATCCTGTACTCCCTCCTAGATCCTGCAAACTGTCAAGCGCTTTGCGAACGTGTCTGTAACTCGTACGAGACATGTGACATTATTGTGATGATGATGACGTGACTCGCACTAGCTACTGCACTACAGTACATGTAGATCTTGTACTACTAAATCAAGGTGTTTTATTGAACGCACAAAGCTATGTACGATATATTATCCATATAAAAACCGCTCTGTGAGCGGTTCTGAAAAACCTTTAATGGTACTGCCCCGTAGGGCTTGGCGGATAATGCCGGCAGAAAAATTGGCAGAATTCGGTACTTTTTCTGGTATGTTTCATGCATGTTTGGTATGTGGATAAAGAAATGGAGCAGAATTCGAGGAATTGCCCGCCATAAGGTTTGTATGGTTCTGCCAATTTCGGTGCAAAAAAAGCAGAATCTGCCACTTTTTCGAGCATTATCCGCTAAGGCCTACTGCCCCGTCGTAAAAGTAAGAAATTAGAACTGGCCCATTGTCCCCCCAAATGCGAACTGATCCACCTAAGTCGCGAATGACGGGACCCGAACGCACCAGTAGCACGAGGTTGGGAGGGCACAGGACAGCAATTATCATAGGGTAACACCACCTACCGCTAGTACAGTACATGGCCTATAGTCCGGACCAGCGTCCCCCCAAATGCGAACTGATCCACCTAAATCGCGAATGACGGGATCCGAACGCACCAGTAGCACGAGGTTGGGAGGGCACAGGACAGCAATTATCATAGGGTAACACCACCTCCCGCTAGTACAGTATATGGCCTATAGTCCGGACCAGGGTCCCCATCTGGATCCACAGGTAGGAACCTCGTGCAAGTGGTGCGTTCGGGTCCCGTCATTCGCGATTTAGGTGGATCAGTTCGCATTTGGGGGGACAATGGGCCAGTTCTAATTTCTTACTTTTACGACGGGGCAGTACCAGTAAAGGTTTTTCAGAACCACTCACAGAGCGGATTTTATATGGATAATTTCAGTTCTTTTTCCGTTCCCTCCCCACCCCAACCCCGAAGGTAAACATGATGACCACGCGCGCGATGTACTGTATGTAGCCATGAGACTGCAATAACACACTGATACATACCAGCCCTCCCCGCCTCGCTACCCCGCACACAGATACACAAACAAGCGTATGCACACGGCACACACACGTGGCCACGCACATGCACACGACACAAACAGGAAATTCTTCATATATAATGCCATGCAAAGCAGTGGCCACTGTACTTGAGGAAGTCAGTTGTGAAACAAAAATAATTCAACTACAGCGTGTAGACAAGCTGACGGCCAAAGCACAACATAGCAAACATGACATTTGCCCAAGGATTGCAGTTTGCAGACCACGCCATGGAAGCAGCGAATACAGAATGAAATATCATACAAAGTGACAAGCAAGGAAGTGGCCATCATACACCAGAAACTTGCAGAAAGTCACACATCCAACAGATAGAGAAGTGAACAGCAATCTGATACAGCCCACACAGGACAAAGCTGACCTGATACTCGTCCCAGGATCGCAAGTGGCAAATCCTTTTCAATGCATAACATACAGGTGTACGTTAGACGCATGGACAACATCTGACCGTGTCGCCAGCATACAATGTCATCACATGTTTACCCCACAAGTTACACACATGCACAGTAGAAGCACAGTGAAAGCAATGGAAAAGTACGATGTGGTTGCTGAAGCATCTTCACACTTCAAATTCAGACTTCAATGTGGTCGTCACGGGATGATATACCTGCAAGATACAAGTGATGAAGAAAGAAAGCAGAAGGTTGTGAGGTAGGCTATGAGTAGCCCTTTCCCAAAGATGCCATAGTTTTTCGCAACTTATGCTTTTCGCAACCATGCCAAAACAAGTGCTAGTTGCTGAAATCGCTTCCATATTTTCAGAAAAACCTCAAAAGTTGCCAATATCGCAACTCAAAATTGGAGAGTTCTTGTGCAAAACCTACAAAACAGGGAGCAGAAATAGCAGAAATGCAGCGATGCTGCGACAGCAAACTCGTACACCCCTTCCTGCTGTGGACCACCACTTTACACATTGCCAGTAGCCTGTTGCATGTATCCTACATGTACATGTACATGTACATCATCACAGTGCACGGAAAAGGGAATGCACATAATTATCATAACTACCGTTGATCTACTGTTTCTCAGAAATGAGCCTGAAGGCAGGCGAGAACGATGATGAGCGAGCACGAGTATGTATTTGTCCAACAATGCAACATGTAGTCGGTGACTTGACCTTTTGACCCCATGCCATGGGCCAATTGCGCCAAGGTTGCGGAGAAGTTGCGAAATAGTTCCGGAAAATGAAGAAAGTTGCGAAAGTTGCGATTTCTTCCTAAACAACGAAAGGTTCCGGAAAAAGTGGCCAGCATCTTTGGGAAAGGGCTAGCTATGAGACACCACAAACGGGTCACCTACATGTATGTTCAGGGCTAGTGCACTCACACGCAGAATAGGGCTTGAAAGTGCTACGTCACAGCATAGCAATGGCATAGCAACAATTTGAAAAATTTGAAAACTGGATCCACCTGGATCCAGTTTTTGTATGGATCCAAGCACATTTCAAGCGGTCTTACTCACAGCAAGGTGATGTAGCCAGTGAAACTGACTGATTTGGCTAGTGGGGGCGGGGTGACAACTGGTGGCGAAGTAAAAGTCGCACCTGCATACGACATGAGTGGGTTGCTATGCACCCACATACTGAGGCAATAGCAAAGTCACACCTTAGTGGATCCAAAATAGAAATCTGATATCAACTTACTACTCCCAGGCCGTTTTTGACGTCATCACTTTCAAGCCCTATTGTCATAATCGAGCATTTCCCAAACTGAGAAGTGCAATGAAATCCACTTGCATGCACAGGAGCAATTTTGCAATAATATTATGATGCGCAATTCGACACGATCTGCGATGCTGCGTGCGATGTGCCCTGCTGTCATGATGGTGACAGTCACCGCGGTATGTTTTGTCAACGTCGCCCGTGCACTCTTCTGTCAAGTCCAAAGTGCTCACATACTTGGCACTGTCTTTGCAGTGATTAACTTTTATCCTAGTTATGTCACGGGTAACTTTAATGAAGTACCCGCAGGCCGTGTCGATCCGCACATCGTACACTTTCTCATGTACTTGGCCTGCTTTGTCTGTGTATCCATTTCATGTGCGATCCACAAAATCGACTAGACAGTGGGTGCAATACGCTCTCTATCTGAAGACGTTCTTCTGGCGACATCTCGCCATGTACTTGGCCTGCTTTGTCTGTGTATCCATTTCATGTGCGATCAACAAAATCTCAATGCACTACAGAGACTAGACAGTGGGTGCAATACGCTCTCTATCTGAAGACGTGAACCATTAAAATATTTGGAAAAGTTATACGTACACCTGAAACGTAATGAAGTACAGGAATAGAGAGAGTGACTACAATATGCTCTCGACCTGATATAGTGATAACGTGTTAGAAGGTAACAGGTCTACAGTCCCACCGTACCCTTCCGACACGACTGTAGACCATTAAAAAAATTTGGAGAAATTATACGTACACCTTAAACGTAATGAAGTACAGGAATAGAGAGAGTGACTACAATACGCTCTCGACCTGATAACGTGAGTACAAGACACCATCCACCTGATAACGTGTTAGTAGCACTAAATGTTCTGTTTAAATCCTCACGCAGCCCCCTTTCAACCCTTAAACCCTCATGCACCTATCTTTCAGCCACGAAATATTTGCCCCACTGTAAATCCCCTACAGCATGAATCAATTAAAAGTAACCTCAAAATAGGATTCCTAAATGTTTGCCATCTTCTCAATAAAAAGCATGAAACTGAAGACTATATTCTTTCCCATAAAGTTGATGTAATGATGCTGGCAGAGACTTTCTTAACAACCTCCGTTTCCGATGACATCCTACGCATACAGAATTACACCCTGGTCAGACGCGACAGGCCAACTCATGGCGGAGGCTTAGCAGCATATGTAAGAGATCATCTCCGAGCCCGAATTGTGAAGGCTGACACCCAGGTAGAAATGCTCATGTTAGAGGTCAGCGGGCAGCGTTCCAAGGTTCTCCTTGGTGGTGTGTACCGTCCTCCAGGCACTCCTGTGCAATTCTGGCAAGACTTGACGAATGCACTAGACGCTTTCGTCTCCACACTTCCCACGTCACCTCTGGTCCTTGTTGGAGACTTCAATGTCGATGTAAGCTCCCGCGCCAGCCCCCAGCTAAACAGCTTGCTGCACCTGTGTAATTCTTTCGACATCAAGAACCAAGTGGACGGTCCTACCAGAGTTGGACCCCAGGGCAGCCAAACAACCCTGGATCTCGCTCTGGTTGGAGACGATCATGTGAACTCTTGTGTCGTAGTACCTTGTACAATCAGTGACCACTTCGCTCTGGCACTTGATTTGCGCCTCACAACGTCCTGCACACCGACCGTGCGACGTGGCCGTAACATTGCAAGAATTGATATGTGTCAATTTGCACATGGCCTTCTAAATAGCGATCTAGAGAACTTCTGCTTTGCGCGGACGGAAGATGAAATGTGGGATATGTGGCTGGAGAAACTTGTCGCTGTCTTGAACACTCATGCTCCTATCCGTCTACACCGCCCTAAAGCTCCTACCCGGAAATCTTTCCCCTGGAAGACGCCAGCTCTACATGACCTAGTCCAGCGACGTGACGCGGCCCATCGACGGTGGAAAGCATCACCTGCAGACCCGGCTCTAATCAATGTCTTCACTTCTGCCCGAGACGAAGCCAAGCGTATGTCACGACATCTCCGAGCCACCTACTTTAGGGACCTTCTTGCTGCTAGACAGGCCAACGCACGAAAAACCTGGCAGACCATCAACTACCTCAGCGGTCGTAACAAGTCCTCAGTTCCACCAGCCGTCAGTGTCTCACAGCTCAGTGACCAATTCAGCGGTGTTGTGTCAGATCCAACTAGACCACTACGTCTCTCAGCCCCATTGGGTCCCACGAAGAAGGAATGCCTCGAAGAATTTGCTCCAGCAAGTGTGCAAGAGATCGCTAAGCTGCTCTCCAACATCGACATGCGCAAAGCTGCAGGCAGCGACCAGGTTCCAGCTGCAATCCTCAAACACTGTTCTCCTGTCCTTGCACCGTCCCTCACCATACTAATCAACGCATCTCTGGCTTCTGGTGTTGTTCCTGCATCTCTGAAGATTGCGGATGTTCGTCCCTCTTCAAGTCAGGCGACAAAGCTGTCGCTAAGAACTATAGACCAATATCGTTATTACCAATAGTTTCCAAAGTCCTAGAACGGTTAGTCCACACGAGACTCTGTAAGTTCCTCTCCGATAATTCCTTGTTCCCCGCAAACCAGTTCGCATATCGCCCACTTCACTCCACAGAAGATGCCCTGACATTGGCTGTAGACAGATATTTGGAGGCAGCGGATCAGCAGCACCATACAGGTCTTGTACTTGTCGATATGAGCAAGGCTTTCGATAAGGTCAAACACCAAATTTTGGTTAGAGATCTATTTCAGCTTGGTATTACCTCAACGGCGCTCAGTTGGTTCATGAGCTACCTAACTGACCGCCGTCAGCGAGTCGTCCTGAGCAATGGCCAATCGTCCGCCCTCTCTCCCTGTGAGTGTGGTGTTCCTCAGGGAAGTGTGCTGGGTCCTCTTTTGTTCTCCATCTACACAATGGAAATAGAACAGATCACAGCTCCAGCCCACTCACAACTGTTTGCTGATGATATCCTGCTAGACGCCATCAGTCAATCTGTCGAATTCTTGAATGTAACCCTCTCCCGTTCGGTCTCCAACCTGGCCAACTTTCTGGAAGAAAGAGGCTTAATACTAAATCCCTCCAAAACCCACGTTCTGGCCCTTCATGCGTCTCGCAGGCAGCCCTTGGTACTTAACATAGAATGCAATGGAAATCCCCTAGCTCAGACCACAAATGCTCGATATATTGGCCTACATCTCGACTCCCAGCTTCGGTGGGAGACTCAAGTTGCAACTATTACACGGAAGACCTCCCAGAAACTGACGGCGCTGCGAGCCATTCGCTCTTGCTTAACTGAGCAACAAGCCCTGCTATTTTACAGATCGTTAATACTACCGGACATGTTATATGGATCTAATGCCTTCTTCTCGGTTCTTTCTGCGCACCAACGGCATCAGCTTTCGGTCCACGACAAGCGATGTATCCGCTGCGTTGCCAACCAGCCATTCCCCTCCCACACAGATCCCATCTACACCCGTCTAGGCCTCATCCCCATCATCCAAAACGCCCACTGTAAACTCCGCCTCCTCATGCTTCGCATCCACACCGCCAGTATTAGTAATCTCCTGTCCAAGCGCCTACGTCGCCAAACTGAAGGCGTCACTCGGATCAACGATCCAAATCCGTATGTTGTCCCTGCCACCAGGCGAGTCTCTGGTGACTGTCGGCCGCTCGTTTCCGCTGTTAGATTATGGAACGCCCTGCCCCAAGAGTTCAAGTGCCTCGCCTGCCACAGATCATTCAAGAGACTTTTAAAGGTTTATTTTTATGGCTAGCCAGCATCTAGGCTTGGACTTGGAGTCGTGACTCAACTGTGACTCAACTGTGCTTTCTTCTTCTTCTTTTTTTCTTTTCTTTTTTCCCTTTCTTTCTTTTCTCTTTTTCTTTTGGAGTATTTGCAGTCTGTGTTGTCTGTGTTTTTCTCTCTTTCGTGGAGGCTTGCTTGTCGTATCCTTGGCTCTCGGCCGTTACTTTATCTCCATCATAATATTGGGCACCACTGCCCGTTTGGTCTGCGATACAAAATAAAATTTCAACAACAACAACAACAGCAGAAGGTAACTGGCAACATATCAATGGGTTGCCTTACCTTGGTCTAGAGGAGACAGTGGCAAGTGGCGATTGCCGCATGGATGTCAAGTTGTCATGCACAATTCAGCTATTACTTACGGTCCAGCTAGTCCTGCCATTGCTCGCTCGTCCTGGTTCCTCCTCCTGCACGTCTGCACTTCTCCTTCCCCACCGTTGGCTTTGCGATACGGGGGTGCCGGAAGGAAGTGGTGATGCACTGAGCTTCCAAGTAAACGCGACCATACCCAGCATGTAGAGAATATATCAGAGAACACTATTCCGTTTGTTGGACGTGCCGAATTCAGTCCAGGGCGTCGATACGAAGCGTTCTTTTAAAAGGCAACATTGCCTGTTGGGAAATCCCTAACAAAATAAGACAATAATGTAGAAAAGAAAAGGACATACGGATACGAGTTAAGAGTAATTCTCCATCACTGTAACTGGATACTATATACAGTCAGAAAGTGCAATAACTAGGCACAAAACTGACAGAGTACTGAGACATTCGACGTCCTGACACCTAGCTTCAACACATCTCCGTAGCGCTAACCAACAGCCTTCAAATTTGGAAGGTTTAAGGTTATGAAAAGACCAAAGAGGGGAAGGCAAGCGCAACGAAAACGAGCAAAACCCTCTTTGGTCTTTTCATAACCTTGAACCTTCCAAGTTGGAAGGCTGTCGGTTAGCGCTACGGAGATGTGTTGAAGCTAGGTGTCAGGACGTCGAATGTCTCAGTACTCTGTCAGTTTTGTGCCTAGTTATTGCACTTTCTGACTGTATATAGTATCCAGTTACAGTGATGGAGAGTTACTCTTAACTCGTATCCATATGTCCTTTTCTTATCTACATTTATTTATGGCTCAACATCCGAGTTTCAAATAATAATAATAATAATCCTCCATGCACGGAAATCCCTGCTATTCGGCCTCGGGAAAGAGTGGATGAAGAAGGGAAGCGGAGTATTCGATGTGACGATGGGATGCTATGACGGTGCTGAAGTCTGTGAGTTGGTGGGTACGCTGGCCCTTGCCAAACTATCCGAGGTGTACAACGGCAGTGAAATTGGACTCTACCGTGACGATGGGCTGGCAGTGTTCCGGAACGTATCGGGACCGGAAGTGGACAGGATCAGAAGAGACGTGACCAAATTTTCAACAGCCTAGGACTAAAAATTACCATCCAGGCAAACCTGAAATCAGTCGACTTCCTAGACATCACGCTGGACCTACGCACTGGCAAATATCGTCCATATCGGAAGCCCAACGACCGGCCACTGTATGTCCATCACAAATCCAACCACCCACCAATTATCATCCAGAAATTGCCCTCTTCCATCAGCCGACGACTAACGGACATATCAACGGATCAAGAGACATTCCAGGACGCATCTCAAATGTACAACAATGCGCTCAGAGACAGCGGGTACAATGAGACCGTCCAGTTCTTGGAGGAACGGAAGAGTGGGAAAAGGAAGAGACAAAGGAAGAGACACCGGAATATCATATGGTTTAACCCACCGTTCAGTAAGAATGTGTCCACGAACATTGGTCAGCGATTCCTGCAACTCGTCAGCAAGCACTTCCACAAAGGATGCAAATTATACAAGATTTTTAACCGGAACACGCTAAAGTTGTTGTTGTTGTTGTTGTTGTTGTTGTTGTTGTTGTTGTTTATTTTACTTCGCAGATTCTAACGGGCAAGTTGCCCAATAACAAGAAAGCGAAGGCAAAGAAAATAATACTAATAAAACAAATAACCGGGGGCAGCAGAAAATGAATAATAGCTTTAAGAACTCAGATGGTGAGCCAAGGAACAAATTTCCATGTTACAAATAATCGCTTTTAAAAGTAAAACGAAAAGAGCGGGTGGTACAGCAGAGAGAAAGTTCAGTTACAGTTGCATGCCAAATGTCGCCACCATCATCAAGCAACACAACAATAGTATCCTCCGCAGCGACCACCAGAATAAGACCAAGGATGTGAGAACCTGCAACTGCCGTGTCAAAAATGATTGCCCTTGGAAGGAAACTGTCTAGCATCGAGCATTGTGTACAGGGCACATGTAACCGGCAGCTACATGAAGGAGTACACTGGATTAACGGAAGGGACATTCAAGACACGATTCAATGGTCATCAACATACTATTCGCCACAAGAAGCACGAGACCTAAACGAGACTGTCCAGACACATCTGGAGACTGAAGGATGAAAACAAACCTTACAGTATCAGGTGGTCCGTTGTGAGGAGAGCCGCACCATACTCTAACATCTCGAAGCGCTGCAACCTGTGTCTGGCCGAGAAGCTAGAGATCGCCTGGGCCGACAAGACCCGCTCCCTCAACAAGAGGTCAGAGCTTGTGTCCAGGTGTCGTCATGAAAACAAATTCTACCTCTGTAACTTTGTCCGCAAGGTCAAGTGAATCTAGCTGGTTGTCCCGCTGCCTATTGTGTGTGTGTGTGTGTGTGTGTGTGTGTGTGTGTGTGTGTGTGTGTGTGTGTGTGTGTGTGTGTGTGTGTGTGTGCCTCAACGGTGGATGCCACAGTGCCACCTGGAGCTACAGGAAAGTCGGCACCGGCGGAGGGATGTTGTGCCGCGCATTGTGACAGGTGTGGTCGCTGCTTTCGCGGTGTCCAGGGGCGGGGCAGGCTTCGCTGTTCAAGGGTGGCGCATAGACCAACAGCAGATCAGAGGAGCGCTCAGCCTTCCAGCACGTGTGCATATGCGGCAAGCAGATGCGACTACCCGTGCACCTGGAGCGTCATCGGGCGTCGTGTCCTCTCAGCTCTCTCTTCTCAAGTTTCCCAGTGATGGGATCACGTGACCCTTTTGCGGCTGTGACTCTACAGGACAGGACAGGACAGGCGTGTGTGTGTGTGTGTGTGTGTGTGTGTGTGTGTGTGTGTGTGTGTGTGTGTGTGTGTGTGTGTGTGTGTGTGTGTGTTCTCTGCTCTGGTGGAGGACGGTTGTACTTTTTCGGGCTCTTGTTTCTGGCCTCCGTCCGTGCTTGTTCTCGCCGTTGTGGACGGCCTGGGGTGTCCCCAGCCGTCCAGGCCAACAGTGCCTGAGGTGGGGTATTCACCGACAGGAGACTTGGTCGGATAGTTACGATGCCGACACTCTCCTCGTCGCCCCCACCTCAGAGTCCTTCGCGAGGCCTTGCAAGCCCGCGAGTGGAGCAAACTACCGCACGAAGACGACAACTTGGAACGACTCTGAGCATTGGCTCATGGAATGTTTGCTCTGTTGTGGAGAGTGATGGACCAGTTCGAGCGGCCGCCGTGAGAGGAATCGTTTCCGACGATAAGAAAATCTTTCAAATAGTTGAGCATCTTGACAATGTGTGTGTTCTCTGCTCTGGTGGAGGACGGTTGTACTTTTCCGGGCTCTTGTTTCTGGCCTCCGTCCGTGCTTGTTCTCGCCGTTGTGGACGGCCTGGGG